TGTTACTTGTTTCCAAAGTCTTCCCAACAGTGAAGGAACACATATGGGAATTTACTATACATGGTATGGTGCTTCTCCTGTACTTTGTGCGAAGGCATCTACTCTAACCTGATCTTCCTTCATATCACCAAGAATAATCTTTGAATGCAAGCCCACCCTTGAGTGTTTCCCAACAACTTTGTGTTCATATCAAGATTACAATACATCTTATTTGTATTCAACATTACTGACTTCAAACACAATTCCTGGATCTGTGTGTCTCCCAGCCTGGCCAAGACTGGCAACCCAAGATATGTGGAGGGCACCAAACCAGGAAAGACTGAAATACCCTTTGAAATAATTGGATTACAAGAAGCATCCTAGAAAAATTACGTTTTGGCTCAATTTTAACATGGCTACTTAGTTGGTCTATAAAATAGCCTTAGAAAATGATATTTAAAATGTCTTGGCCTAATGAAGACAATGTAGGAAAGAGCTACAGGTGACCTGTAGGCTTATCATCAAGAACATAAAAAGCCAATGTAATTACTAATGGAAAAATGGGGAAACTGTTTCTTTTACTGCATTTTTTTTTTTTTTGTTTTCTGCAATTATTACATCAAATAGTTCTTTTGGTAGAACAAAACATTTATAAAGATGAAATTCACATGTCGTAGCTTGCAGTCTCAACAGGCAGACCAGGCATTCCATTGACAGGTGAATTACACAAAACTAAAAGGATGATTCAGCTGTAAGAGCAGTAATAATGCTCAATGAAGTTTGATTTCTATGCACATCCATAGAAAGTCTAGTATTTAAATATTACACTATTAGGACTTATGATGTAGAAATTACAGGAGCTATATTTTCAATATATCTAGAATGATCAGCTTGGAAAACGCTAATGGTCAAAAACCATAATAAGTATTCCGTGCAGTACTTTTGTTCTATTCAGGTTATACTTGTTTAAAAACGAATGGACAACTTGGTCCTATGAGCTGCTCAGTCAAATTACTTCCCTTCATTTTAAGGAGGATGTAGTGACAGAAGAGAAAAATAAATTAAAAATAGACAAATAACATGTGACTATTTACATACAAAGTATATATACGGTATATATAGAGAGAGAGTTCTCTATAAAAGGGACTTTATATTCAGGGGAATTCAAAACTTCTCAGGTTAAGATTTAGCACCAATATTAGCTGTATTGATTGGGAATTTTGGAAAAGGAAGGACTCACACCACCATATTCAGGAAAGCTGATTTAAAGCCTTGTTCAGTTGGGTCTCTGGGTCTTTTTATAGCATTTTATGAATAATAGCATGATGTACTGAGACTTAGTATGGTAGTTTGTGAATAATAGCAACTATTGGCAAGAATAGGAACAATACTTCTTGAAAAAATATTTCTTGTCATTACCTCTCCCTCCTGAAAAAAATAAGGTCTCAGGAAAGCCATATCTTAAAATGTATATATTAGGTACTAACTTCTTGGAATATACTATATATAAATTTACAAGGTGAAGATAGAAGGGTACCAGGATGGTGAAAAAACCCAAACTATTTTCAAAGGCTAGGCTAATGATAATTAATGTACTACATGCATAACTTTGAAGGTGGATGGTAGTACAGTATTTTGTATTAAATAAGATTTTATGGGACTGTAAGAGTTTATAAAAAGGCTGCCCCCATAAACGATTTACAGTTCCAATAAAAGATCAAGGAAATTGTTCAAATTGCATCTCAGAGTATCTGAAACATTTATTTTTATGGAAGCCTGAAAACCTCCATATCTAAAACTCCATTATTTTCTTTTATTATTATTTTTGTCCCTAATCATATAACAGAATATATCTTTAGAGATGAAGTCAAACAGAGAATATTGAAGATCAGAAGAAAGACTGATCCCTTTGACTCAAAGTTAAAATAACTTGGAAGGTAGAAAAAGCAAGAATATAAATAAGACTAAGCTAAGCCACTTGTTCAACCAAAGTCCTTCTTGACATTTTAGCTTGCAACTTCTATCAAGCCTAGTTAGAAGGATCATTGATTAGGGAGGACAGAGGTTGAAGACAAAAAAATATCTGGAAAGACTCAGAATGAGGAATCCTGTTTTAAGGTCTGCCCGTTTGATGTAGTCACTGCTTCCATCAAATCTTCCCAGTTTCTCTATTTGTGCAATAGCATCACTGTTGGAAGATAATTTCATTAATACAGGGAAAGGCACTGGTATGTTTTGAAGACAAAGTATTGGAAGTCCAGAAGTCTGTTTTATATTGGGTATAAGGCAATTTGTCCAACTTCCTAATGAGTCTGATTGGCACCAGTTCTTCAAGATGTAAAGTATTAATTTGTTAATTGCCAGCTTTCTATCTCTTTATTACTCAAGGATGACAGAGATAGTACTGATGATCTTCTGCTCCACAAGTAAGCAAGAAGAGTGTGGGAAGACTCTCTATTGTATCTTTTTTTAAAATTAAAATTACTTATTTAGACCAGGACCATGCAAATCAGCAAACAACTATTATTATTTACATTCAGTGTAACCCTTTCTTTAAAATAAAAAAGGAAGAAAGAAAAGGTATCCTTCAATGTATGCTTCTTCTTCTTTCAGTGAAAGCCTCCTTTTATTGGAGTTCCCCAAACAAAAGAGGAAAATGTAAGATGAAACTTGCTAGGTAAAGGTAAAGGTTTCCCCTCTCCAGTTGTGTCCAACTCTAGGGAGTGGTGCTTATCTCTGTTTCTTAACTGAGGAAGCCAGCATGGTCTGAAGACATTTCTGTAGTCATGTGGCCAGCATAACTATACGCTGAGGCACATGAAGTGTTGTCATCTTCCAAGCAATACCTTCCTAGGGAAGTGGTACTCACATTTGCATGCTTTTGAACTGCTAGGTGGATAATAGCTGGGGCAAGTAATGGGAGCTCCCTCCATCATGCAGCGCTCGGGTTATAACCCAAGCTATAAGCTTTCCAGATGACAAGCTCAGCATTTTTAACACAGCCCCTTATTTGCTAAGATGCTCTGGCATCCACCTGATGAAATGAACCTTCACTAGAAAAGAAGACAGCTAAAGGAGTCACTATCAGCAATGACTCCTAACCATGGAGTGGTATGAAAGTTGTGAATAAGAGCTTGAACTTTTAAAATGTCCTATTGACCATTCATTGAGTAGAGCCTCTTTAGATCAATCTCATATAGCTGTGATGGTGAACCTATGGCATGAGTGCCACAGGTGACATGCAGAGCCATTTGTGTGGGCACGCAAGCCCCAGGCAAACTTACCTCACTTTGCATGCATGTGCTTCACAGCTGATTTTTGGCCTGTTTTCAGCCTCCCAGAGGCTCGAGGGAAGCCTCTGCAGCCTTTGTTGACTGAAAAAAAGGGCCGTTTCATCACTTCCTGAATTTCCGGAAATACCAGAAGTGACAAAACAGGCCCATTTTTCAGCTTCCGAAGGCTGCAGAGGTTTCCCTCAAGCCTCTGGGAGGCCAAAAAAGACCTTAAATGGGCTGAAAATTGGCTAGGCGGCGCAATGCAGGTAAGGGGGGATTGTGCATGCATGCACAGGGCCCCCAGGGGCCCCGTGCGCATTGCCTTCTAGGTGCTGGTATGCAAGCACACCATTTTTGGCACAGGAGCCCAAAAAGGTTAGCCAATATAGCAATTGTGCATTACCTTTTAAATGGTTTGGCCTGGTAAATTTCCAGGTAGGCCTGGAAGGCACACTGTATATTTTAAATCTCATTTGCAAACGGTCTCTTTTAATGGATATTTGTAATTCATATTCTTAATTTGGTCTTGCTTTGGTCTATGACCATATGCTTTAATAAATTAAATTCAGACCCTAATGGGAAAAAGAGAAGTAACCCGAAGAAAGCAATGAAGAATATCCACTGAGATTAAAAGGAGAATTAAAACTGTAAGTGGAAGAAGACAATCAGGAAGGTCTGTGTTTTCTTTGTTGCTATTGTAAATAATCAGCTCCAACTTTGGAGACCCTCCTTAAATTTTTAGGAGAGGGGAGCATACGGTCCATAAATTGTGCACCTTTGCATTAGATTGTACTAATCCACTCTCATGGAAATCCACACTAGATTTTGTCAGTATCTCTCATTTGGACAAATGGGAGAATTGGGTCAGCTTGAACCAGTAGATCTTTATGGGATGGAGGTAAGAAGGAAAATTATGTCTGTACAGGGTAAACAGTAACATTTTAAAAAAAGAATAAAACAATCCCAATAAGATCCTTCTTTTATTAAGGTTCCCCTACCCCCATCATTAATTTAGGTTTAGATTCTGAGAACAATAACTTTAATCTTGCCCTTTTAAGTGAGCCACAAAGCACCAGTGGAGGCTGTTAGAAATAGTCTAGCCCACACATGTCAGCAGTTCTCATCTAGGATACAGGGGGTGGTATTTGGGGAAGTGGGCACAAACAGGATGACATTGAACAATTTAAATATACAAATGTTATTACATTGCAGAAGCATTACAAAGTTTTTGTGCCCCTCTCCTCAAAGTAAAGTGAAAATTACTTTTGCAGTGATTATCTATTTTGAATGGCTTATGATGATTTCTTTAATAGGTGGTAGAAACACTTTTGGGTGAAGATGAAGGAGAGAATGGAGGAGGCAGGAAGTTTTATCTGAAAACCCGAGGCAAAACTGAAGCAGGCAGATTATAAAATTAGGATTTGGCAAGAATATTGTGGTTAGAACTGTTACTCTAGCAGCTACCCTTTTCAAAAAATTGCCCAAGGGCATTTAATAACCACAAATGGCCAGGAACTCATTTTTATGGCTTATTCAAACGGCATCACTTCCAGCAACAGGAGAAATGAAATGTATTTTCTGATTCTTGAAATGATGAACAGCTCTGGTGCTAAATCACCACTTGTTTCAACTGTCACGTTGCCTTAGAAAGTTTTGCCCGTATTTTTCACCATCCCAAACACATTTTACATAGTTCTCCGCGAACAAATAAACAAAAAATAAACCACCAAACGTAGGTTTGCTTACCATACAGAGAATCTATGTTTCTCCAATTCCTCCTGATAAGACCGTAATACTCCATCATCAGCATCTAGTCTGATCTTAGAACCGCTTTGCACAACCACATCATTTGGATCATTCTTCTTCATCTAAAAATTAACATTCATAAATTACAGTCCTGAAATAGCTGAAAATAGCAGGCAAGAGATCTTAGGACTCTTACTCAAATTGCCTCTTTTTAGAATGACTATATTTGTTTAAAAATAATCTTGTTCATTCTGCAACATGTAGGATTTTAACTGATAACTACCAAGAAAATTTCATTAGCATTGATTCCCACACTTTCATCTTAGGTCTTGCAAGAGTGCGGAATTAATCAATATTACATTTCAACAGAAGAGAATATATGTGGCTCAGAGTTGTACTTTGGAGTCCTTTGTGCTCTTTGAACTTGGTTATTTGCTTGCAGCTGTTTAATTACCTGTCTAAGTAATATCATCAGTGCGCATATGTGTTGCTGCCCATTTATACACAGTCTGGTAGTGCAAGCTACTGTATATAAACAGGGAACAAACTCCTCTCACTTACAAGCACTGAGAGCATAACGGATTCCACAATGTTACAATTAGCAAGGGCAATAGTACTTAGACTTATATACCACTCCATAGTGCTTCACAACACTCTCTGAGCAGTTTACAGAGTCAGCATATTGCCCCCAACAATCATTTTAGTGACTTTGGAAGGATGGAAGGCAGTCAGCATCAACCTCCTCGTATGCGGGCAGAGTTTGCCTGCAAAACTGCATTCTAACCACTGTGCCACATTTTAGGCTATAATTGCTCTAAGACTACTACCTAAACCATTAGGGAATAAGTTCTTGGTGGTTCGAGTTTGTTGCCTGGTCAGTTTTGCTTCAGAGCAGAAATTATCAAATGGATTTATGTAAACATGGAACTACATTTCCTATCTGGGGAACTTCGTATAAATTATTTTGAATGCACCCAGAAACAAGAGTGAATAGAATGACTAAAGAAAGAGTAGTAAAGCTGAGAAAAATCTTGTTTGGTAGTATTATGTTTGCAACTTCAGCTCCCCTCTACAGCTCTCCTTACTCATGTCTGATCAATATTATTCCACCCCTGCCATTCTTGCATATGTCACTTGAATAAAATTTGATGTAGCATGTCTTCCATATATCTATGGAAATTCTCAGTCATCCACGTCATGGTTGTCCCACACCTAGAATACTGCATCCAGCTTTGGTCACCACACTATAAAAAAAAAAGATGTTGAGACTCTACAAAAAGTGCAGAGAAGAGTAACAAAGATGATTAGGGGACTGGAGGCTAAAACATCTGAAGAATGGTTACAGGAACTGGGTAAGTCTAGTGAAGAGAAGGACCAGGAGAGAAAGGTGTTCCAATATTTGAGGGGCTGCCACAGAGTGGAAGGAGTCAAGCTATTTTCCAAAGCCAGACAAGAAATAATGGATGGAAACTGAACAAGGAGAGATTCAACCTGGAAATAAGGAGAAATTTTATGACAGTGAGAACAATCAACCAATGAAACAGTTTGCCCTCAGAAGTTGTGGGAGCTTCATCACTGGAGGCTTTCAAGAAGAGATTGGACTGCCATTTGTCAGAAATAGTGTAGGGTCTCCTGTTTGGGTGGGGTGTTGGACTAGATGACTACAAGGTCCTTTCCAACTCTGTTATCTGTAATCTGTAAATCCCAAAGGTGTTGGGTTTTTTTCCAAAGAGGCAACTGGACTTTCTGTTTTTTCTTTGAAGATGTTTCACTTCTCATTTTGGGGAACTGAAGTCAGAGCTGAAAAATCTTCTTGGGTGACAAGCAAAATGTCTTCAAAGAAAAACTACGAAGTCCAATTGCCTTTTGGAAAAAAAAAACATCTTTGGGACATGTCTTCCATAGGTGTACATTATTATTATTATTATTATTATTATTATTATTATTATTATTATTATTATTATTATTATTATTATGGTTCATCACACAGTCAGCCTGATATTTAGACTAGATTTGGAGTTTTGTCCTTCCCAAAGACCTGGAATAAGCAGATGTTGTTCTTTGATGGTGCTAAAGATATCATTGCAGGATATAAGCTGTTAGTAGTAAAGTTGCTTTTGCAATTGACTGGCACCATTGCAGTGCCAATGGTGTTCAAATGGTGCCACAGATGCTTTGAGATTGGATTGCATCCAAGGCACCTATTACTATTGGTACTACCTTTGTTTTCTTTTGCCACAATCATTCTACCTTTAATTTGCAGGTCTTTGTATTTTGCCGTTGCTTCCTGTTCTTTCCCTTCTAGTCTGTTGTCTCCAGTGAATGCCACATCCGCTATCCAGACTTTTTTTTTCTTTCTCACCAAAAGTTGTTTAGGTCTGGGTTGTCATGTGTCAGGGGACTGCCTGTTTGAATTCTATAGTCCCAAAAGATTTTAGCTTCTTCATTTTCTATTACTTTTTCTATTGTGTGGTCCCACGTGTCTTGCTTGCAGGCAAATGATATTTCTTACAGATATTCCAATGTGCCACTGTTGTTACTTTGTCATGCTAGTATTTCTAGGTGTTATACTGTTATTATGATATTTCTAAAATATAAGCATAAAATGGATGCATCTTTTTCCCCCTCTTGCCTGTTCCCCTAAGGTTTTCTAACATCCACCCCAGTAATAGGCCTTGCTACCTAGGCAGCGGCTGTGTGAAAAAGCCTTTGTGATTTCAAAACAGATTCACCTGCAAAGTGCAGATACCGAAGTCACACGTTGCATAAGAATCTGTATTGTTACACTGAAGGTGCAACACAGAAAGGCATTAAATTGATTACTGTATACATGAACATCCTTCACTGGGCTATGTTTGATCATGCACATGACTCAAAACCCGTTCAAGTCAGAGACAGGAGGGTGTGGCTACAGGAGCCATCTTCTTTCTCACAGGGACTGCATGGGCAGAAACATTTTGTGCCCTTTAATAACAATACATTCATAACTTAATTGCGCGCCGTGCAATGCTCTGATCAGCATCAAAGAAGATGTCACTGCTTTGCTCTTCATGCAAACAAAACATCAGAAGAGCAGAAATAGCAGCAATTAGGCTGAGACAAAGGAGTCCCCTGGATGGTTCTGAAAATTATTCTTCCTCTAAATGTATCCTACAAAGACTTTTCTTCCAACGATGGCGTTTTTGCTTTCATTTGCTTGCTTGTTCTAAGTAATGGATTTGGCTCAGCCAAAATTAAGTAAAATTACATTTCGTTGAAATCAACTGCACTTCAGTCCTTTACATATCTAAACTAAAACTAGTTAGACGAATGGAAAAAAAAATCACTGAATTTAAAAAAAAACAAACTTCTAGGTCTATCTTCAATCACTTAACATCCAATCTCGATAAGGCTTTATAAAACAGTCCACAAGGCAGTGGCAATCAATTTGGCACTGTTGCCAGGAAGGCATGGACGTGCCGATCCTGGCAACAGTCCCCCCGAAAAAGTTATGCCCCTCCCCGTTTCTCATTGTTTTCCTTAAAAGAGAAAACAACGCAGAAACATTGCTATTTTTTTCTTAGCACCACACAAAAAATGGCTCGGTGGGTCTGCACAGAAGGTTATGGAATTTTATTCTTAGAGGCATGCATCAGGCTATTAATCTATTATTTAATATACTGCCTCTCTACCACTGTTTAACTAATGTTGATAGAAATAATCCAATGTTAAAAAGAAAAACACTATAAATTATGTTTTTCCACAGATGTAGTAATATTTTAATGATTAATGTAATTTAATTTAATATTCATAATATGAATGTGTTAGTAGAATAATGGCATTGTCGGAATAAAATATATTTTAAGCCTTTGTCAGGTAAGATTCAGGATAAATTTGAGGCTGAAGGGACAGATTTTATAGCTATAATCTTAATATTATGATTGACTTGTTATGGGAAGGAGGGCATCGGTTAAAGAATTGGCCAAGACTATCATTACACAAAAAAATGAATAATTGTCAATATGCAAGTATATTTTTTCTATCTATTAATCTACCAACCTCATATATAACAGCAAAGACATAGATTGTGGGATCACAAGCTGTAGATATGCAAATTCCAAGTCATGTTAAAGCAAAACAGTGGGGCGGAACCAACTGTTTTCCAGGATGTAATCTTGAGCATAGACTTCCAATTTTAAGGAGTACATGAGAAATTGCTTTGAACCTCATTGCTTGGAAGTCAGAGGACTTGTGGACTAAACTTAAATAAGTTGTTAAATATGAATGTGAAAAGAGACTGCCAAACATGAAGAAACACAAGAAAGCAAACTGGATGTCAAAACTAACAGTGGAAATTACTTCGAAGAGAATAAAATCCAAACCCAAGAAAGACAAAAATTTCAGAAAGGATCTTAACGTATTATTTTAGACAGCTGTTAGAAGAGGCAAGTAGTAAATACTACAACATCTACAAAAATATGGGAGATGAAAACACTCATTTTTTTTTTAAAGTAAAGCCTTGCAAGAGATTTCCAAACTTAAAAGAAGGATTCCAAATTTGAAATGTCACAAAAGAAAAACAATGAACAGAAAGTACCTGATTTCAAGAAGGTCAAACAAAAATGGAAAGTATGCTGAAATTCTGTAAGTAGACATGTCAACTTCCAAGAGATACAATTTAATTTTATACACATCTAGTACAGAAGAATACACACACACACACACACACACACACACACGAGAAAGGATTAGTTATGATCAAGATATATCAGCAAATCTGGAGAATAGATGGCCAGTGACCAATAGATTGCAAAAGACCAAAGATCAATACTAAAGGATGTAGACTTAATAGTGTCCTAATAGTGAAAACTATTGCATAATATTCTTAATTTTAACTGCTAGCAAAACAATGCTTAGGCAGTGGTGGGGTTCATTTTTTTCTCTGGGTGTTGCTTGGTGGGCGTGGCAAAATCCCCATTTCCACTCCACTCTAGGGGAAGGATACTACAAAATCTCAATCCCTCTCCACCGCACTAACCTCTGCAGGGCAACAAAAGAAGACCCAGCTGATCAGCTGGGACTCGGGGCCAGTCAGAGGTGGTATAGACAAATAATGTGGTTTTTTTTAAAGTCAGTAGGTGCT